ATCACATCCCCAGCAATCGATGGTTGTAGGATTAAGCTGTAAAAGGGTTCATACACCACTAGTTGGCAGTGTTGTGCATATATTTTATGTGAATTATTGCCAGCTACTGGCAGTGCGCTCCTCTACCTCTAGACCTCAGGCTAACATGAAGTGGTATTTGTACTGTAGTGTCTGAACACTTTTATCAAGGCATCCCAGATTTAAGAAGCTGGTAAAGATCAGATAATCTGGATTATGTCCTGATGCATAAACCCTTGGAAAAGACAGTGTGGACCTGTTTTACAATCAGGAACATGATCCACTCTGCCTGCTGACCGGAAGCAAGGCTCTGACATTAAACACTCCTGAACTCTCCTCCCTCTGCCTAGATCTTCCTCTGGATTACAAATTCCCCAGGTTTTCCCCCGACAAACCCTGCACCACGGGGTACTACCCCCGCCCTCCAGAGTCTCTGCTGAAGATGTGTGAAGATCTGTCCTAAAACAGACCAAGAAGAACGAGGAAGAAGGAAAACAACTCCTCTCTGACTCCTCTGCCACAAGAGAGGCGTCTCCGTCTTTGCCTGTAGTTTTCCACCTGACTCCACCTTCACATGTGATGCATAGGCCCCGCCCACTCATCACCTGTTCAGAGAAACCATGTGAATGTAAGCCACAGTATCCCTCCATAACGCCTCCATCTGAGAGTTCTGTGGTTCAGTGTACTCCACACGTGGAAATACAAGATAATGCGTGTGTGTGTTGTGTGCGTGTGTCTGTGCACGCGCGCGCATATGTGTGTGCGTACAGTAATAAAAAACTGTTTCCATTGATTGTTTTGTGTTTAAGAAGTGAACAGTTTACTGTCTCTTACCTCAGAGGAAGCAGAGTCCTGTCACATGTGTCTGTAACTCGATGTGCTGTGCTCTCAATGACATCATTCTACATATTTTACTAACACAGACATGAGGAGGTGTGTCTGTTGTTTCCCTGTGGATGGTGTTAGTCACACAGAACCAGTGCTGTCCTCAGAGGGACTCAGTGATACTGATGAGGAGGACTGGTCTAGGTATTGTGTGTACTTCTTTGTGTAACAGTGATGTGTTTCTGAGTGATTGTGTGTGAGTATGGTTGACTCGAGCTGCAGACCAAGATCTGCTTTAACCGACCTCTGAATAGCTGTCTAAGTGCAGACATAGACTGGGCCATAAAGTCTTGGAACACTGAAGTTAAAGAGGATCAGGTCCAAGTTGGTTCAGTAGAGTTTGACACAAAGCCTGACAGAGTGAACCAAGAACCCTAAAGATTCATCTTTGAATCATTTTACTGATCTGGGATCAGATAAAGTTGTTCTAATCCAGGTTTTCTCTTTAGTTTTTTAAATCAATGGAAGAATTATTTTTAAATTTAGCTTTATTTGTTGAGCATGAATACTGAATAAAATGTGTAGTAATACACAACCCTACCATGTAACACAGTAAATTCAACCTGATACCGTATGAAACTGATTGGGTCAAAGGGAATCTGAGGATAAATTTAGTTTTTTTGGATCAAGTCTGATCAGATTCTCCAAGGTGTTAATGTTCCTTCATTTCCCACCAGACTGAAACTCTAGAATGTGGCATACCCTTTTACCCTCATACCGTTGTATCCTCATACCCTTGTATCCTCATAA